CAGCACGATCATTACAGAGGTGCACCTTGTGCTGGGGAATGTCCACCAGAGCTGTTGCCAGATAATTAAATGTTAATTTCTCTACCATAAGCCGCCTCCAACATTGTTTTAGAGAATTTGGCAGTATGTCCAACCGGCCTTACCACAGCAGACCATGTGTAACCACACCAGTCAAGGTATATTTTTGTTCCATATATATTTGTAGTAAAGTGGTGAGAAGAGCCCTGGGGTAGTATCCAGGGCTGGGGAGTGGGACACCAGCTACTTTAAGCTGACAGTCATGAAACCAAATTCTGGTTCTGACCCATGGAAGAAAATATCTGATTCAATTGTAGAGATTTTCAAATCTTCATGCAACAAGAGCAAAAAAACTCAAATGTTTTCTATTAGGCCATCGTCAGAGTGTGTGATAGTGTTCGTTTCTCTAGGAAACTCAGTTAGAGTTCAATAAGATAAAGGAAAGGAAAACATGGTGATAGACAGTTCAATCTTTTTCCACAGTTGAACATGTTTGAGTAGCCTAGTAGCCTAGTAACCTAGTAACCTAGGTTACACGATGTCAGTCTATGTATAATATATATTGTGACCCGCAGACATAGCTTAGTGGTTAAGAGCGTTGTGCCAGTAACCGAAAGGTCGCTGGTTCTAATCCCCGAGCCGACTAGGTGAAAAATCTGCCGATGTGCCCTTGAGCAAGGCACTTAACCCTAATTGCTCCTGTAAGTCGCTCTGGATAAGAGCATCTGCTAAATGACTAAAATGTATATTAAATACATTGTTTTATTTGCTTGGCCAGTAATAGAATAATGAGGAATTGTAGTTTCCAGGCTCCATGTTCTGAAAGGACAGCACTTTTCAAAACAACATTTTGGCAGCCAGAGTATGAACGCATAGCCTTGCCTGTGATGTGCTGTTTGTTAAACAGAATCAATAATTCAGCTTGTTAACGGCTCTCCTTTCCTGGTGAACATGCTCATTTACTCACACACGCATGAACGAACGAGTGGCCAGCTTTTGAGGGACCTGGAAGATTAAATTTAGCAACAGGCGATGGACCGATAGCCTCGACCCCATTCCAGAGCCATTCAGGACAGTGGAGGCTGGTGGGAGGAGCTATAGGAGGACAGGGTCATTGTAATGTATGGAATGGAATAAATGGAATGGTATCAAACACATAAAAGATATGGAAACCACATGTATGACTCTGTTCCATTTATTCCATTCCAGTCATTACAATGAGCCCGACGTCCTATAGCACCTCCCACCAGGCTGGCAAAGAGACCAATAGTAAGGCCCTCCTTTCGGTCCAGTTCTTTTCTACCCCGCATTTTGATCATCTCACCTCAAGACCTTCTCACGCCATGTGTGAACTAATTGTCATGTGCGCATACCATAATAATCTAAAGCAATTATCCAATTAGTCCAAAATAAATTCTCAAGCATGTGACTTCAAATGATTTCCTAATTCCTATTATTTTTCTATATTCCTCCATGGTTGGTTTCATTGACTCTCCCCTTTAAAGCTGCAATATGTAACTTTTGGGGCGACCCGAACAAATTCACATAGAACTATGTGTTATAGATCTGTCATTGAACGCAAGTCTAAGAAGTGGTAGATCTGTTCTATGTGCGCTATTTCTATGCTTCCCGTTCTTAAGTTTAGTTTTAGCATCTTTTACTTTCAATTTTGTACACCAACTTCAAACAGATGAAAAAACAATATTTTTGGTTATGGAAAATATATTTCAAAGCGGTTTAGATGGTTAAACGATTCTCTACTCTATACTTGCTTGTTTTGTCACATAAACTGAAATTAGGCAAACTATTAGAATTTTAGCAACCAGGAAATGGCAGAGCGATTTCCGCATAGAGCATTTTTAACTGCCCCCAATTGACCCATTTTTATCTATAAATTCTGAGTCCATTCTGAGTCCATTGGAGAGGATCAGCTTGAGTAAAGTGAGGTGTAGAATCACTGATCTACAAATAGTATTTCTCTCCCAAATAATAGGTTTTGTGCAATCAAGATTCGCAGAGCTCAGGCGATATCCCTGCCAATCCCACCTGCACAACCAGACAGTGATAGATTGATTGGAGACAGTTTGTATCATTTACAGATAATTTCCAAGGATTTTCTACCAGCAGCGATGCGAGATGTTGCTAGAAATACTGGTAAAAGCACAATACCTCCATTTCCGGACCAAAAGGCAGGGCCCTAGATAAGCAATAGAACCCTTCACATACTGACTCACTCACATCCATTTATTATTATTATTATTTATTTATTATTATTTATTGTCCATTGCTTCCTCCTGATTTCGGCTCACACCCAGGATCTCTGCCTTGCTAGGACACGTGACCACCCTCCAGTCACGACATGCGAAAAGCTAGCTAGTCAGCGGCGCAAGTGGGGATACATCCACATCTGCTACACCTCGAACTGCATTTACACAGGCTGCCCAATTCTGATATGTTTTCCACTAATTGGTCTTTTGACCAATGCCATTAGATCTTTTCACATCAGCTCTTTTTCAGAGCTGATCTGATTGGTCAAAAGACCGATTAGTGTGGCGCAGTGGTCTAAGGCATTGCATCGCAGTGCTAACTGTGCCACTAGAGATCCTGGTTCGAATCCAGGCTCTGTCGCAGCCGGCCGCGACCGGGAGACTCATGGGCGGCGCACAATTGGCCCAGCGTCGTCCAGGGTAGGGGAGGGAATGGCCGGCAGGGATGTAGCTCAGTTGATAGAGCGTGGCGTTTGCAACTCCAGGGTTGTGGGAAAAATATGTATTCACTAACTGTAAGTCGCTCTGGATAAGAGCGTCTGCTAAATGACTAAAATGTAAATGTAAATGTGAACGATCATAATTGAGCTGCCTGTGTAAACGCAGCCATACAAATCGACCCATTCGCAAACCCAAACTCACATGTGCCGGAGTCTGGCACAATGGTAACTCTCCCAACCACACGTACCCTCATGGCGACAGGGGGTTTGTCCTATCAGCAATAGTTTTCATCAGAAGACAAATGTGTACAAATGTAGCCACTGTTTCCAGCAATCAGAAAAATACACACAATTCAAAATCATGTACAATTTAGGATTTTTTTTTACATCAAACTCAGCCTATATTATTTAACGTGACACAATGGAACTTTGTTTTTTGAACATTAATGTCCCTCTACAGTGCTGGTTTAGGCCTTGAAGATCATATGATATGCACTTTTATTTCACTAACTTGTCAAACAAGTATGACTTCTTTGATGTACCTTAGCCTATGACATTAGTGTCTTGTCTGTGGAAATCACCAGAAAATGCTTGAGCTTTCTTGAGAGAAATGATAATATCTGTGTAAACCAGTCCAAGGAAGCTAGTACGGTAAGACTTATTTTCATACATTTGATTACTATCTAATGTACATTAGATTCATGAATGTCTCTTCAGTTAATTTGGGTTGTGTGCCAAACACAGTACCAAACTCAACCATTCCCAGTTTCTTACTGTAATCGTTGGAATCCATGCAAAAGCTTCAACGGCCATTATTTTCCTGATCAAACAAATTCAAACAAGAAGTGAAAGAACACAAAATACACTGAGTGTTACAAAACATTAGGAACACCTTCCTAATATTGCGTTGCGCCACCTTTTGCCCTCAGAACAGCCTCAATTCGTCGGGGCATGGACTCTACAAGGTGTCGAAAGCGTCCACAGGGATGCTGGCCCATGTTGACTCCAACGCTTCCCACAGTTGTGTCAAGTTGGCTGGATGTCCTTTGGGTGGTGGACCATTGTTAATACGCAGTGGAAACTGTTGAGTGTGAAAAACCCAGCAGCGGTGCAGTTCTTGACACACTCAAACCAGTGCGCCTGGCACCTACCTCCATACCCCGTTCAAAGGCAATTCAATATTTGGTCTTGCCCATTCACCCTCTGAATGGTACACATACACAATCCATGTCTCAATTATTTTAAGGCTTAAAAATCCTTCTTTAACCTGTCTCTTCCCCTTCATCTACACCGATTGAAGTGACATAAATAAGAGATCAAAACTTTCACCTGGATTCACCTGGTCAGTCTATGTAATGGAACGAGCAGGTGTTGTTAATGTTTTGTACACTCAGTGCCATTCATACAAAAGAAGATCTAAAAGGAAGACCACACAATGTCTCTTTGTTTCTTGACAATACAATGTGCAGTGTTACAAGACATGTCTGCCTGTGGAATCAAAGACCAACTGTTTTAGGATGTCAATCATTCTAAGGCAACTACACTATAGCCACTCTCACAAGGAAACATTTTAAAACCAATATGAAAGGTAACAATGAACAAGAGTTGTCATCATACCATCTTAGAAAAAAGGGCTCCAAAAGGGTTATTCAGCTGTCCCCATAGGAGAACCCTTTTGGGTTCCATGTAGAACCCTCTGTGAAAAGTATTCTACATGGAACCCAAAAGGGTTCTAAATATAACCTTTTTGTCTAAGAATGTATGCTAGATGATAACACATTTAATGTGAATATTTATTGGAATAAGGGACGTGAAAGGAGTAGAGGCTGGGGTGTATTATTGAAGTAAAAAATAATTTCAGCTCTAAAAGTGTTATTCCAAGTTTTGTTGGAAATAAATGTGCACGAAATAAATACATATGACCCATTATTTATTGACAAGAAAATGACAAATGAATTATTGACAAATTACACATTATATATTGACAAGAGAGGAGGGATGTTGAAGTTATGAATTACAAAGGGCAGCCAGCTGATGCGACAGAAGCAACAGTCCACCGAAACTCTACCGCCCACATCAACGTCAGTGCGTCGGGTGCAGCAGATCATTTCACTTCCTGGATTTCACAGGTATGACAAACCCATAGAGATAGATAGAGTATTCATTATGGACATAACCCTTTTTAGCATGGACATTACCATTGAGGGAATCCACCATGCTTACGCCATTTTAAAGTAGTCAAAGTAGCCTAGTCAACTGGGTGGGGATTCCTATGGGTTGTAGCCTCAATGGCGCTGCACATGCGTTCACAGACGATATAAAAGCACAGATGAGTAAAGATGAGTCCTCTACATATCTCCATGGACACACCTGAGAATTTTGCTGAAGTTAAATTGTTGGCCTTTCTTGCGAATGGAAACACCCAACATAGCTGAGTGATTTAATCCCGTGAAGCACTCTCTTGACTTGGATTTTAAACAAGGAACGCAGAAAAAGATTTCAACAAATTGGCATATAGCCTTTCTTCTTTGTTTTCCTGCAAAATACAGAATTATTGCTATAACCCGTTTTGTCGGTCGACTATTGAACTCATTTCATGTCGCACGTTCTGTGTTGGGGAAATTAATAGAATATCGTTTTGTTTGAAATGAAATAAGACATTTAGTAGACTGAATGAGCGTTGAACCTTTGTCCAAATATTTTTTATAGGAGTAATTCACACGGAAACCGAGAGGAAACATAAAACAACACTCGACTGCATTTACCTTCTTTGTGTCGTAGGCTATTGCTCAGTAGGCTACGTCCTTCAAGTATCGGCGATAATGACTGCTCTGTGTACTGGGTCAATATTAGGATCTGCGCTGTTGCTCCTGTCAATAGTCTGCCAAGACAACGCACAGGTTACAAATGGAGAAGAATGCGCCAGGGATTTCATTGTGGGCAATGAAAACTTTGTGCTAGACACTGAAGACTCTGTCAAAACAGGAGCCAGATTCATCTCGTCTCCAACTGTAACCCAAGCTGAAGACTGTGTTGACTATTGTTGTAAAGACCCCAATTGTAACTTGGCTCTGATTGAGAATGGTGCAGAGAAAGGCTCGGTTACAACTTGCTTTCTGTTTAATTGCCTGTACAATAGAGAGTATGTCTGCAGGTTTGTGAACAAAGTGGGATTCACAAATTACATTTTGGACTCAGTCTATGAAGATTACCTGGGAGGACCTGAAAGCACCCGTGGTAAGATCAAGACTCGACTCACTCCAGTTACAGGTAGTCATTTATTTATAGTCTTGTAGGCCTACGGACCAGTTTCCCAGATACATATTAATAACCATAATCCTGGACCAAGCATGTTTATTAAGGATTTAAATCGGCAATCAGGAGTTGAAACAATAACAAAGTACATTCCCTGCCACTGTTTTGCTAAAAAGCTGGAGAAATGGAGCCACTCTAAAATTCATAGACCGAGCTATGGATGCAAGGACTGACCATCCACGATATCAACATGATAGTTTGTATCATGTGTTGAGGCTATACAGAGTTTGTTTACATTTACTTTGGTTACAAACATTGGACTAATGGGGTACGACACTTGAACTAAGCTCATCAGGCATTTTTAAGTTATATTCTTCAAGAATCAATGCATCCATATCATTGATTTATATGTTCAAAAATAGATGTATCTATTGCAGATTGCCCCTTTTAAAGAGATGTTTCATCCAGTACTATAGGCTAATCTGGAGACCAGCCCATTGTTACTAACTAGTAGATAATTACTAACCCCCACAACTTCAACGATATCCACCCCATCTCCTGCTTATGTCCTACAGTGATTTATTTTGTGTGTGTGTGTTGGGTACTGGGACAGGAAAAAATAAAAGAATATCTGTGCAAATGGACCAATAAAGCAACTATTATTACTATTGTTTTGATGGTAAGTCTTTTGCTGATTGGTATGACTGCTCAGGTGATGAGGATAAGTTCCCCACGGCCAACGCGGGCCGGAACATTGTGGTCCAACCCAATGACAGGGTGACATTGAATGGCATTGAGAGCTGGGACGACAAAGGGATCACCAGCTACGAGTGGAGCCTTGTGGAGGGGAACAACACGGTGGTCATTACGGTGAGGGCATCAACCACCATAGTCTCATCCTCATTGTAATAACGATACACTTTATTGTCCCAGAGGGGAAATAGACTTGGGCACAAAATGAGGACTATACATTACACACTCAACACATACTCTTCATCATCATCACCAAACCCTCCTTTTCTTCATTAGCCAATGTATAATCTATTGTTGTTATTCAGAACAGTGCTACATGTTTTAATGGTGTGGACTTGCTGCATGGTAAAAATCCAGGATAAATATGCACATTTGCCTTCAAAGTCTTTTGCGAGTTTAATAATCTGAATAAGCACACTGAACAAGCTAAAATGCTTGTTTTCATGAGACAGAGAGAAAGGGAGAGATATAAAAGGCCACAGTTGTATTTTTCTCTTAACCTTTTTCTTCCAGAAAACGGACCTGAAGGATCAGGTGATGCTGTTAAACCTGAAACCTGGGATGTACGTCTTCCAGCTAAAGGTTACCGACTCCAGCAACCAGTCAGACATGGATCAGGTCTCGGTCCTCGTCCTCACTCCAGAACAGTCTGAGGGTGAGTACTGAATTATGGGAAATGTCCATGTTAACGCTTTAAGGATGTGTTTCAAAGTCGTCAATAACCAGATTTCCATCCAACCTTTTTATGTCGGATAAAACATGTCACGGCATGCCTGATGGAAACAGAATATTTGTCGATAAACTTTCCAAATGTCGTTGAAATTGCTGCATGTTGTGTTAATTGTTGTTCAGTATAAATGAATGTCATCCTTTGAACTACTCCTAGACAAACCTGGTCTTTGGTTTGCTGTAATCAGGCAGTTGACTAAGTATTTCCTCTACCCTGCACTATGATCGGTACCCCAGACATACACTTCATTTAATGTGTGTAAGCAAACGTTTACATGAAGGCAGGGCCTTATTTGGTTACTGGTTAACATGGGCCTGGGTTTTAGTTAAAGAACAATTTATATTTTATTAACGCTTGAGCCAAACAACTTCGATACAGTACTTCAATTACAGTCAACATCATTAGGGGATCTCAATGGTTTGTGAATTAAACTGATTATTTTCGACCATTAACCATTTTTAAGTCGAGCGTGTAGCTTTAAAAACATGTGTTCTTGACACCCAACACAAGGAGATAACCATGTGACCACTCCCCTGCTAAGCTAGGATCAGAACAGGTCTAGCGTGATTCACAGTTGAGTCACATCAGCCAGTAACTTTATTGGCTGAGGCTCAGCCCTCCTTGAACATTCCACAGAATGTTGTGTTGCTGTTAGATATTTCTGGGAGTTTTGTAACATGAAATGGGGTACTTGTGTTACAAATAGGCAATATTTGTGTCATGGTAGAACAAAAAAAAATATGGAAACTTGACTGAGTGCAGCAAAGGGGGAAGCCCCCAAAACAGAAGTGTAGAGTAGGCTTGTGCCAATAGATAGTAGAACCAACCACACAGTAGATGGCAGTAGATTCTTTTTTTTTTCTTTTTTTTTTTTCTCACTGTACTTCAAGTTCAGCTACAACTGCACTGTAGGAAGAGCCAAGATGGCCATGCAGGGGTTCCAGTGAAATAAAAGTCATAGCAACTACCACAACCTCTCCGGCCCTTCTTTAAATAATGTTTCCCTGTATTGGAGAGACTTCCTCCACATCTCGAGAGCTTGGGACTAGAAGGTTCTATCTGCAAAAAAAGATGATTCTGAAATAATTAGCTTTCATGTTCTGAACCCTCATTGGATTGAAGTGTCAGCAATTTTGATCTTGTGTTCTTTTGAACTTAACATGAATTGTGGTATTTAGAGTACTACACAGTATAGTTGGAGAACATTGAACAGAACAAGACCGTCAATAGAGTCTTGTAGTCCCAAGCTCTCGATCTCATAAACGTAAGGAATTCTATTGAATATAGCAACCCACTCCAGCTTTGTCCTCAGATCAATGGCCCCTATTACCTTATCTGTGTACTCATGCTATATGAACAAAAAGTCATTTATACGTGTGTTATCACTGAGCGGTTTATCTGAGGTAAACAGGAACTCTTAATCGCTCACTGCTGATGCACTAAGCTGATGAGGGTCCATATCCTCTTTGAAATGTTGACTAACTGTAATTCCACACATTGTCATCTGGGTTGAGTTAATGGCACACACAGAAACATTTAGAAATGTTTTGCAAAGGCTAACGAAAATGTATGCTTCTTATTGGACAAGTCCAGGTAGTCCCTCCCTTTTTTCTTCTGTATGATGCCGAATGAATGCAACCTAGGTGCATGTGATTGGTTGGGCAAACGGTTGGTTGCTATTATAAGGTTGGATAGAATAGATCAATTCATTGTTGCGTTGATATCACTCCATCATACCTGTGCTGAGTGACCGATCCAACATGGTAACAAGGGGAAGTGCCAAAAATCATTGCTGGATTAATTAATATTCAGGGTTTGAAGTTAGCCCCTATTCAAGTCAGTTTTGTTGAATGCCTTTGTGGGAATCAGAACAGTTCCCTTCCAAAGTACACCTACAGATCTGAAATGATTCAATGGGTATAAGCAATATGAACATTCCACCGAGCCTATCAAAAGCAAGGGTAAAACAATGACCTTCTTTAAGCCAATCCGATTCCTTCATGTTTACCAGAGTGCCTAGGGTTAGGGGCTAGGCCACTAGGGGTTGATTTGGAATTTGTAAAGCTATTATGCCTGGCTTCTGTCACGTGCCTTGTCAGTTGTCACACCCTCCCCTTGAACCCTTTGTTGTGTCTAGTACACCCGTCCCACTCATGAGGCCCAGACAATGGTGTATGTCTTTATTGTGTGGCTGGAAGTGTACTCAGTGAGGTGAAGCTTTCAGATATACGTATACAGTGGGGTCTGAAATGATTGACACCCTTGATAAAGATGAGCAATAATGACCTGTATAAAATACATTATTCAAATACTGGGCGATATTATATGGTCAGAAAAATTGGGAAATTATATTAATACAATTGCTCAGAGAAAGAGATTTTGTTTAACAGGTAATACTTTTTTTTCTCAAAGGTAGGGGTCAATTATTGACCCCCTTAAAGATTCTTATAAATAAAGTAGTCAAGCCTTTAGTATTTGGTCCCATATTCTGAGAAAGCAATGACTACATCAAGCTTGTCTTTCAGATTATTTTGTGCCCAATAGAAATGAATGGTAAATAATGTATTGTGCCATTTCTGGAGTCACTTTTATTGTAAATAAGAATAGAATATGTTTCTAAACACTTCTACATTAATGTGGACGCTACCATGATTACAGATAGTCCTGAATGAATCGTGAATAATGAAAGTTAGAGGGTGAAAGATCATACCCCCAAGACATGCTAACATCCCCTGTTATTGGGAATGGGGAGAGGTTAGCATGTCTTGGGGGGTATGATCTTTGACCCTCTATCTGTTATCAAGGGTCTCAATAATTTTGGACACCACTGTATGCTCCATACGTTTCTATCTCAATGTTCTCTGGCAATGACTCTCCTGAACACACCCTTATTGACATTTCGCCATGAGCCTAAAGGGTGTGCATGGGCAAATGTAAGGATACAGTCATAAACTTCCTCTAATGGTGGCATTAGTGGCCTGTTGGCTGCAATAAGCATTTTATGGTTATGGGCTTAAAGGGTAGCACCAACACTGTGTATTGTAGATCTACAGTACAATGTTAAACTGTTTCGCTGCTCAGGTTGATGGACTTTTGATAAACAAGACTTTGTTGGCATGGTGAAGTGTGTTAAAGGGATAGTACACTGGGGGCGGCAGGTAGCTTAGTGGGTAAGAGCGTTGTGCCAGTAACCGAAAGGTCGCTGGTTCTAATCCCCGAGCCGACTAGGTGAAAAATCTGTCGATGTGCCCTTGAGCAAGGCACTTAACCCTAATTGCTCCTGTAAGTCGCTCTGGATAAGAGCGTCTGCTAAATGACTAAAATGTAAATGTAAAATACACATTGGCAAGATTTTCTACTTACCTTGGCTGTTGTCGATTGACTGAGGGCCTAGACAGTTTTGCATTATGGTAAAACTGAGGGAGCCATTGTCATGAATAGCTTATATAAATGGCATGTGCCATACATTAACATTACTGCCATGCTATGTAAAGCATAGATAATTTACCTATGTATCTCATGTAAAGTTGTACAAAAAAATCTAACCAATATTAACCCTCATAATCATCTCTGTCTGTCTGACTGCCCAGGTCATTGTCTTGTCCCCAAGAAGGTGGGTCATTGTCGAGGTGCCTTCCCCAGGTGGCACTACAATGGTGCGTCGGAGAAGTGCGAGGAGTTCACCTTCGGAGGCTGCAAGGGGAACCGCAACAATTACTTGTCTCTGCAGGAGTGCTCCGACGCCTGCCAAGGCGTGTCAGGTACAATGAGATGGAGCTGTCTGTCTGGCTCTCTCTGTTTGTCTCTGTCTGTGTCTGTCTGCAGCCGACTGACTGTGTGCCTGCCAGCTGTCTTTCATATTCTCTCTTGCAAGTTGAATAGATTGTCTCTCTTTTTCAACCTACAGCTGCTTCAGGAAGAAGAGTGCCTACTGAAGGTGAGTGTAATGTACAGTTGAAGTCGGAAGTTTACATACACTTAGGTTGGAGTCATTAACTTGTTTTTCAACCAGCTCTGTCAGGAGGAATGGGCCAAAATTCACCCAATTTATTGTGGGAAGCTTGTGGAAGGCTACCTGAAACGTTTGACCCAAGTTAAACAATTTAAAGGCAATGCTACCAAATACTAATTGAGTGTATGTAAACTTCTGACCCACTGGAAATGTGATGAAAGAAATAAAAGCTGAAATAAATCATTCTCTCTACTATTATTCTGACATTTCACATTATTTTAAGAATGTGGTGATCCTAACTGACCAAAAACAGGGAATTTTTACTAGGATTAAATGTCAGGAATTGTGAAACTTAGTTTAAATGTATTTGGCTAAGGTGATTGTAAACCTCCGACTTCAACTGTACATACTAATTTATGGGCACATAAACACTATCCACCACATAAACACTATCCACCACATAAACACTATCCACCACATAAACACTATCCACCACATAAACACTATCCACCACATAAACACTATCCACCACATAAACACTATCTACCACATAAACACTATCCACCATATCTCTGTTAAATATGTGTGTGTGTGTGGTTTAGGGGAGGTGTGTGGCTCCCACTGTAACTCTGGTCAGTTTACCTGTGCCAACGGCTGCTGTCTGGATGAAGTCCTGGAGTGTGACACGGTGACTCAGTGCAGCGACGGCTCTGACGAGGCGTCCTGCGACAAGCGTGAGTCCACACACAAACACACACACAGCAGTTCTTAACTTAACTAAATGACCCTCTTTTTTTTATTATTGTACTGTCTCAATGCACACTCACATGACTCTACACACTCACGCACACACTCACTTAAGTTGCTCACACACACATCATTAACACACATTTATACTGACTTTACACACAAACACACACACCCATATATGCTGCTGCTACTCTGTTTATCATACATCCTGATGCCTAGTAACCTTACCCTTCTACATATATACCTCTATCACTCCAGTATCCCTGCACATTGTAAATATTGCATTGGAACTGACCCTGTATATAGCTACTGACCCTGTATATAGCTACTGACCCTGGAACTGACCTGGTATATAGCTACTGACCCTGTATATAGCTACTGACCCTGGAACTGACCTGGTATATAGCTACTGACCCTGTATATAGCTACTGACCCTGGAACTGACCTGGTATATAGCTACTGACCCTGTATATAGCTACTGACCCTGGAACTGACCTGGTATATAGCTACTGACCCTGGATATAGCTACTGACCCTGGAAATGACCCTGTATATAGCCACTGACCCTGGAACTGTCCCTGTATATAGCTACTGACCCTGTATATAGCTACTGACCCTGGAACTGACCCTGTATATAGCTACTGACCCTGGAACTGACCCTGTATATAGCTACTGACCCTGTATATAGCTACTGACCCTGGAACTGACCCTGTATATAGCTACTGACCCTGGAACTGACCCTGTATATAGCTACTGACCCTGGAACTGACCCTGTATATAGCTACTGACCCTGGAACTGACCTGGTATATAGCTACTGACCCTGGAACTGTCCCTGTATATAGCTACTGACCCTGGATATAGCTACTGACCCTGGAACTGACCCTGTATATAGCTACTGACCTTGGAACTGACCCTGTATATAGCTACTGACCCTGGAACTGTCCCTGTATATAGCTACTGACCCTGGAACTGACCCTGTATATACAGTGGGGAAAAAAAGTATTTAGTCAGCCACCAATTGTGCAAGTTCTCCCACTTAAAAAGATGAGAGAGGCCTGTAATTTTCATCATAGGTACACGTCAACTATGACAGACAAATTCAGAAAAGAAAATCCAGAAAATCACATTGTAGGATTTTTTATGAATTTATTTGCAAATTATGGTGGAAAATAAGTATTTGGTCACCTACAAACAAGCAAGATTTCTGGCTCTCACAGACCTGTAACTTCTTCTTTAAGAGGCTCCTCTGTCCTCCACTCGTTACCTGTATTAATGGCACCTGTTTGAACTTGTTATCAGTATAAAAGACACCTGTCCACAACCTCAAACAGTCACACTCCAAACTCCACTATGGCCAAGACCAAAGAGCTGTCAAAGGACACCATAAACAAAATTGTAGACCTGAACCAGGCTGGGAAGACTGAATCTGCAATAGGTAAGCAGCTTGGTTTGAAGAAATCAACTGTGGGAGCAATTATTAGGAAATGGAAGACATACAAGACCACTGATAATCTCCCTCGATCTGGGGCTCCACGCAAGATCTCACCCCGTGGGGTCAAAATGATCACAAGAACGGTGAGCAAAAATCCCAGAACCACACGGGGGGACCTAGTGAATGACCTGCAGAGAGCTGGGACCAAAGTAACAAAGCCTACCACCAGTAACACACTACGCCGCCAGGGACTCAAATCCTGCACTGCCAGACGTGTCCCCCTGCTTGTCCAGGCCCATCTGAAGTTTGCTAGAGTGCATTTGGATGATCCAGAAGAGGATTGGGAGAATGTCATATGGTCAGATGAAACCAAAATAGAACTTTTTGGTAAAAACTCAACTCGTCGTGTTTGGAGGACAAAGAATGCTGAGTTGCATCCAAAGAACACCATACCTACTGTGAAGCATGGGGGTGGAAACATCATGCTTTGAGGCTGTTTTTCTGCAAAGGGACCAGGACGACTGATCCGTGTAAAGGAAAGAATGAATGGGGCCATGTATCGTGAGATTTTGAGTGAAAACCTCCTTCCATCAGCAAGGGCATTGAAGATGAAACGTGGCTGGGTCTTTCAGCATGACAATGATCCCAAACACACCGCCCGGGCAACGAAGGAGTGGCTTCGTAAGAAGCATTTCAAGGTCCTGGAGTGGCCTAGCCAGTCTCCAGATCTCAACCCCATAGAAAATCTTTGGAGGGAGTTGAAAGTCTGTGTTGCCCAGCGACAGCCCCAAAACATCACTGCTCTAGAGGAGATCTGCATGGAGGAATGGGCCAAAATACCAGCAACAGTGTGTGAAAACCTTGTGAAGACTTACAGAAAACGTTTGACCTGTGTCATTGTCAACAAAGGGTATATAACAAAGTATTGAGAAACTTTTGTTATTGACCAAATACTTATTTTCCACCATAATTTGCAAATAAATTCATTACAAATCCTACAATGTGATTTTCTGGAATTTTATTTCTCATTTTGTCTGTCATAGTTGACGTGTACCTATGATGAAAATTACAGGCCTCTCTCATCTTTTTAAGTGGGAGAACTTGCACAATTGGTGGTTGACTAAATACTTTTTTTCCCCACTGTAGCTACTGACCCTGGAACTGACCCTGTATATAGCTACTGACCCTGGAACTGACCCTGTATATAGCTACTGACCCTGGAACTGACCCTGTATATAGCTACTGACCCTGTATATAGCTACTGACCCTGGAACTGACCCTGGATATAGCTACTGACCCTGGAACTGACCTGGTATATAGCTACTGACCCTGGAACTGACCTGGTATATAGCTACTGACCCTGGAACTGACCCTGTATATAGCTACTGACCCTGGAACTGTCCCTGTATATAGCTACTGACCCTGGAACTGTCCCTGTATATAGCTACTGACCCTGGAACTGACCCTGTATATAGCTACTGACCCTGGAACTGACCCTGTATATAGCTACTGACCCTGGAACTGACCCTGTATATAGCTACTGACCCTGTATATAGCTACTGACCCTGGAACTGACCCTGTATATAGCTACTGACCCTGGAACTGACCCTGTATATAGCTACTGACCCGGGAACTGACCTGGTATATAGCTACTGACCCGGGAACTGACCTGGTATATAGCTACTGACCCTGGAACTGACCTGGTATATAGCTACTGACCCTGGATATAGCTACTGACCCTGGAACTGACCTGGTATATAGCTACTGACCCTGGATATAGCTACTGACCCTGTATATAGCTATTGACCCTGGAACTGACCGTGTATATAGCTACTGACCCTGGAACTGACCGTGTATATAGCTACTGACCCTGGAACTGACCGTGTATATAGCTTACTTACTTCTCAAGTGTTTTTGTTCTACCTTATGTTATTTTTAGTATTACATTGATATTGATTACTGCATTGTTGGGTTTAGAGTTTGGCAAGAAAGGCATTTCTCTGTACTTGTGCACGCGACATTAAAATGTGAAACTTATCAACTGCAATGAAAACAAGGAAGTCTGCTAGTCTCAAGTCACTTTACCTCACACACACATGCTCAAACCAGCTTAGTTTTAGACCATCCGAAAAAAGAGTGACTCTTAGAAGATTGCTGAGGCACACTTCATGAATACAACAGAAACTCCTAAACATAACCATGCTGTGTCTGTGCAGCAACATAACATGGTGCTTGTTTTGGCAGTGAACCAGACCTTCACTCGTCTCCTGAACATTAATGTGGACAAAAGTAGGGGTGAGTTGATTTGATTTTCACACCAAAGCTTACTATAGACCCTAATATACCCTTACCAAAGCAATACTGTTTATCCTACTACAGCCCTAATGCCCATACATTAATCCTAGCCCTAGATGCCTTACCCAATCCCAGTTCCCATTCTATAGACACAACCCAAGTATCCAGTCCCCTCAGTCCTGTAGTAGACAATACATTTATCACCTCTCTCTCTCTCTCTCTCTCTCTCTCTCTCTCTTTGTCTCTCTCTCTCTCTTTGTCTCTCTCTTTGTCTCTCTCTCTCTCAGCCCGCTGCACCGAGTCCCCCAGGACGGGGCCGTGCCGTGCCAGCCACTCCCACTGGTACTATGACCCGCTCAACAGGAAGTGCCATCGCTTCACCTACGGCGGATGTGACGGCAACGACAACAACTTTGACATTGAGGAGAGCTGCACTGAGACCTGCAAGGGCGTGACTGGTACAGAACTCTAGGCCTGTATTCAGTCTCAGAGTAGGAGTGCTGGACTAGGATCAGTTTTGCCGTTTAGATCATAATGATTAAGATTAGGAGGACCTGATGCTAGATCAACATCCTACATTGACACACTCTTTGAACAACTGAGCTACAGTTTAGGGCTGCGTTCAGCAAAATGTTATGGACTGTTCAGATGTTAGAATACAGAAATATATTATGTTCAACTGATCCGCTTCATTGACATGTAGAGTAAGGAATCATGTCAGCTCTATTTATGGCATTTCTATCTGCAACATTTACGGTAGTACTTTGCAGCTGTATTGTTCAAAGTAGTGCTATTTTGATCTACTGTATTTATTGCAGGTCTGTCTCCTTTAAGTCTATGTGGTCAAGCAAAAGTTTTCAAAGGCTTTGAGGTCAAGCAACATTGACCATTATTCTTAATGGCTGGATGTCTTTCTCTATAGAACATGATGTGTTTGCAAGGGGAATGTTTGAACGCTACGAGGTAGAGGAAACTGAGTCCGGTAAGAACCTGTCTATCTATACCTCCTCCAGGAGTTAGAACCTGTGTATCTATACCTCCTCCTAAACAGGAGTTAGAACCTGTCTATCTATACCTCCTCCTCCAGGAGTTAGAACCTGTGTATCTATACCTCCTCCTCCAGGACTTAGAACCTGTCTATCTATACCTCCTCCAGGACTTAGAACCTGTGTATCTATACCTCCTCCTAAACAGGAGTTAGAACCTGTCTATCTATACCTCCTCCTCCAGGACTTAGAACCTGTGTATCTATACCTCCTCCTCCAGGACTTAGAACCTGTGTATCTATACCTCCTCCTCCAGGAGTTAGAACCTGTCTATCTATACCTCCTCCTAAACAGGAGTTAGAACCTGTCTATCTATACCTCCTCCTAAACAGGAGTTAGAACCTGTCTATCTATACCTCCTCCTAAACAGGAGTTAGAACCTGTCTATCTATACCCAGTGCTTGACTTGGGTGAGAGCTCACCGGAGCTGAGTACCGGCACCTCCAAATGTTCTACTGCTTGAGCTCCTGTTCCTCTTATAGAATATTAGCTCAAAGGTATAGTGGAGCTCCTGCACCTAAACATAAACAGTACTGGAAGCTATTTCAATCCAAGTCAAGCACTGGCTATCCCTCTTCCACTGTCATCTCTTGTTGCTGAAAGTTTCTCAGTCGGTGTCCTTAGTTATACTTTCTCAGCATTCTCTGCTGTACGTAGCCAGATTGTATTCCATACACAGTGGGGACATTTGGGCTACTTCCTCTGACCTCTGTTTAGTCACCTAAACCAGTGTTTCTCACAGGATTGCACATTTTTGTTACAGCCTAGCACCAATACATCTCATTCAATTATTGGCTTGATTAAAAGTTGAATCAGGTGTGTTAGTGGTGGTCTGGAACAAAAATGTGCAATCCTTTGAGAAACACTGGTTTAGACGATTTATCGGACTAAATGCTGGTCTAAACCTTAATCATTTGTCTGAATGCTTCTGTTTCTCCAGGCTCCATCGCTATAGCTATAGTGTTAGCGGTAGCCATCATGGCGGTGCTGGCTGTCCTGGGTTACTGCTTCCTGAAGATCAGGAAGGACCGTTCGCAGCACCAGCCCGTGGCCACCAATGTCCCCCATGTTGCCTTTGAAGACCGAGACACCCTGGTCTACAACACCACCACCAAGCCTGTCTGAACCAACAAGCACCTGCCTGGCTTTCAGGACCTTGGTATATTGTGTTCATGTGTATATACTGATCTAACCAGAGAAGGACCAGAGCAATACATACACATCTCCCACACAGGTCCAGAAACTCCAGATATAGTCAGTAAGTGAGCAATTTAAGCAACATTTCACTTGAACAGAGCTTTGCTTGGGCTCCTCCTTGGACAACCGGTTTTTGCTTTCAGAGAATTTACCATTAAGGAGTTGGTACATTAGCATGCTCTGTCGAAACCATTCTGCAGAGCTTGAGTGCACAAAAAGTATGAGACATGGGCACAAATCCAAATACTATGTATGTGTGGGCTTTTTTAAGTGTGTTTTTGTATGTAACACATTCTCAGGGGGAAAAAATCTTTGTTCTAGGTTTTTCTTACAGATTTTGTAAAGATGATTTTTTTTCTTTACCTTTTTATTTATAAAATGTGATTAGTCGCAAGGTTTGTGCTGGGTTTGCATTAGGCGTTGTTTTGTCATGAAAATGTATAAGGTAAACCACACCAGATTTAAATGTAGGTACCAATAAGTGCTCTATGTACGTTTTTACTTACTGAAATATTATTATTTTTAAGCTGTGTTTATGCACCAGTGTGTCTGTGTACTGAATTGTTATCATACTGTAATCGTTTCTTACTTTAAGTAACAACCAAGGCCTAGATCGTGCGGTAGGTGTCTTTTTTGAAAAAGTGTTCTATGTTTGTGTTTCATGTTTCCTTTAACCGTAATAAAACGTTAATTACATAATATAATGTTGTGGTGTTTCTATGTAATTTGTACAGGGCATTACATATTTTAGTTTATCCACTAGGTGGCGATATTGCACCAATGTAGCCTTGCATCATTTGTTAACTACAAATCAATAGACCAAACCACTACCCACTAGTATGTCAAATTCTACCGGTTTGATTTCGAAAGTAAGAATTGCATGCCTGTGGAATATGAGTAGCCTACATAGCTACATTGCTTGCTGAAGTCACATGTGGTCTTATAATTATAGTATATAGAGCATGGTTGGTCAATATCCTCAGAGGATATAGCCTGAAAGTACTCTCCCCTTCCACACATTTGGTTCTGAGCACCGAGATTAGAGTGAAAGCAATCCAAAATTGTTAATATAGAATTGAAATGGAATTGTATACAACACAATCACCCACTTGTTCTGAATAGGTAAACACAAAGTTTGGCATCCTCCCCAAGTTTCATAATCAAATGCATAACAAGCCTATACCCAAATTATATTTTGCCTTAATGATTGCTTTTGGCATAAGCTTGTGTATGCTTTCTCCTTCCAAGTGAATACTTTCCCCGAGCAATTTGAAGATTCCTGACAGGTCCTGACTTGCGTGGACCTGCCCTTAGTTTGTTTACCTCCAGAATAGGGTCACCTGTAGATGTTAGACTTCCTGCTTGGTAATGCAATCTGAGCTTGTTGCAATGCATAACACAAACCTGGATTTAAATGGAAAAGTTTGTCTTGTGTATACATTTTTGATTATGTATGTGGGCTTCCTACAGAGTGGTTTCACCAATTAGACCATTTAAAGCTGCAGACATCCGGTTAGAGTCAGATAGCCAGGCTCAGATATTTTTTCAACCTCCAAAATTGTTTTTATTAAAGAGCCACTGAACAAGCTGATTGGCAAGTGTATTTATTTTGCTCATTAGAAAAATTAGATATCAGTCTTGGTGTGTTTCCTGACTGATTCCGTGTTTGGTTAATGATGTTTGTCCCACATGAGACACTGTAGCCTATTTAGCAGATTTCACTTCCTCCAAATCCCCAGAATGAATCTAAGATAACTCAAGAAATCTGTAATTAATTTACAAAACATTGCAGAGAATGTTTTAGTTGTGCAATTTTATATTAACTAAGGTGTTTGGTGCACTATTTCTCAAGTTAAAAAGATGCACGACATATCTTCTGTAAACAAAGTCGGGCTGCTGGGCAGGTCTGTGTCACTGTCTATGCCAGTGATTCTCAACTGGGGAGGACGTTAAAGGGTCACGGGTACTTGTGAAAGAATATATATAATATATATACACACACAGTTGAAGTCTGAAGTTTACATACACCTTAGCCAAATACATTTAAACTCAGTTTTTCACAATTCCTGACATTTAATCATAGTAAAGATTCCCTGTCTTATGTCAGTTAGGATCACCACTATTTTTAGAATGTGAAATTTTCAGAATAATAGTAGAGAATGATTTTTTCAGCTTTTATTTATTTAGTCACATTCCCAGTGGGTCAAAAGTTTACATACACTCAATTAGTATTTGGTAGCATTGCCTTTAAATTGTTTAACTTGGGTCAAAAACATGTGGGTAGCCTTCCACAAGCTTCCCACAATAAGTTGGGTGAATTTTGGCCCATTCCTCCAGACAGAGCTGGTGTAACTGAGTCAGGTTTGTAGGCCTCATGCTCGCACACGCTTTTTCAGTTCTGCCCACAAATTCTGTACAGGATTGAGGTCAGGGCTTTGTGATGGCCACTCCAATACCTTGACTTTGTTGTCCTTAAGCCATTTTGCCACAACTTTGGAAGTATGCTTGGGGTCATTGTCCATTTGGAAGACCCATTTGCGACCAAGCTTTAACTTCCTGACTGATGTCTTGAGATGTTGCTTCAATATATCCACCAAATTTTCCTTCCTCGTGATGCCATCTATTTTGGGAAGTGCACCAGTCCCTCCTGCAGCAAAGCACCCCCACAGCATGATGCTGCCACCCCCGTGCTTCACGGTTGGGATGGTTTTCTTCAGCTTGCAAGCACCCCCTTTTTCCTCCAAACATAACGATGGTCATTATGGCCAAACAGTTCTGTTTTTGTTTTATCAGACCAGAGGACTTTTGTCCAAAAAGTACGATCTTTGTCCCCATGTGCAGTTGCGAACCGTAGTCTGGCTTTTTTATGGCGGTTTTGGAGCAGTGGCTTCTTCCTTGCTGAGCGGCCTTTCAGGTTATGTCGATATAGGACTCGTTTTACTGTGGATATGGATACTTTTGTACCTGTTTCCTCCAGCATCTTCACAAGGTCCTTTGGTGTTGTTCTGGGTTTGATTTGCACTTTTCGCACCAAAGTACGTTCATCTCTAGGAGGCAGATTTTCCCATGATGTCAAGCAAAGAGGCACTGAGTTTGAAGGTAGGCCTTGAAATACATCCACAGGTACACCTCCAATTGACTCAAATGATGTCAATTAGCCTATCAGAAGCTTCTAAAGCCATGACATCATTTTCTGGAATTTCCCAAGCTGTTTAAAGGCACAGTCAACTTAGTGTATGTAAACTTCTGATTCACTAGAATTGTGATACCGTGAATTATAAGTGAAATAATCTGTAAACAATTGTTGGAAAAAATACTTGTATCATGCACAATGTACATGTCCTAACCGACTTGCCAAAACTATAGTTTGTTAACAAGAAATTTGTGGAGTGGTTGAAAAAAACGAGATTGAATGACTCCAACCTTAGTGTATGTAAACTTCCGACTTCAACTGTATATATACAGCTCTGGAAAAAATTAAGAGACCACTGCAAATTTTTCTTAAATCAGCATCTCTACATGTATGACAGCCATTCCATTCCAGTGTCTGTTGAATTCCAACACAGGCACACCTCATTCTACTGAATTAGGTACTGATTAGGTGATCACCTGAACCAAATCTTATTTAACGAGGAAAAGTATAAAAACCACTGCTGTGGTCATCACTATCCTCTTGCAATAGGACCAGCTGGATGGTGAAAACAGTGCTAATAATACCTCAAAAGTAATATTAATCAAAAAATAACTATTGACCATGCCAAAAGAGTTGAAAAGGAAAGTTTTGAGTGAGGAAAAGAAGGGTTCAATTCTGGCTTTACTGGCAGAGGGATACAGTGAGCGTCAGGTTGCTTCCATCAACCAGCCTTGCAACAGAAACTGTTTGAGATGGTTGAGAGATACCATAGATAGTATCCTTCACCTTCCTGGAAAAGACAGACTAAGGGCCGCAGTCGATTCTCTCTCCCTCCAAAGTATGCACTTACTCCCTTCCATGGGTTTAAAACGAGTAGATGGGTCTGCTAAACAAGCTGTGGGTGAGGATTAGTGGAAACTGGCTCAACACCATTCTTACACCAGTTCAATGCTTTTAAATCCCTCAGGGGGAGGGAATGACTGCACGATTCAAGGAGAAGGGCAGGGAAAATTCAGCACTCAGCTGGCAGGTTATGTGTAGGCGTGCACGTCAGACAGGCATTTGTATTTTTGGTAGGAGGCAGAGGGTGTGCCTATCTGAAGCAAGGTTCTCACGTCTTGTACCAACAGGCTGTGTGCGTCAATGGATGAGTTTTGTGCCCACGCTTTAACGCAGGCTATTTCTCACAGCTATTTGTCTGACATTGCGGTGCTGTTATCATAGATTGTCTATGGTTTTTATACTGGTGGAGCGGAGATAGATTCTCAATAGAGATAGTAGGAGTCCTTGCAGGTGTAACATTTCCAATACAGTGTTCGATTTTATTCTCACACGTTTGATAGTGATCGATATCCTATAAAATGTAATGTGGCATGACACCATCTTGCTTTTATAGATTATATGTGAGATAAACAAGCGGGATTACAAGAGAAACAAGCAACAAAAATGGGGTCAGATGTTGGTCCATTTATTTAGATATTTTTTTGGCTCCATTCACCATCTCGTTGATTGAAGGGTACATGACATGTCAGTTGTCACACCTAAGTAGCCTACACATTCAATAAACATGACAATCTTCGCATATTTTGGGACTGAGACAATATGAACACTAGCCTACAGTTTTGCTTGTCACGCCAGCCCACTTTTTAAAAAATGCCTCGTACATCTCAGGCAATGGATGACTTCCTGTTGACGCATATTTTAAATGTCATTATGCCGTGGAGAATCGTGGGGCATTTTAATACAATGCTAGTTGTTAAACATAAACAAAATCACTATAGATAACTGGGTTTTCTTTACTTGCATCATCTTTTTGATGCAGACAAAAACAGTTTATATATATATTTTTAAACAAGTTCTACGAGGGATGCATGGGAAAGGGGGCGGCGTTCACCAGTCGGTGAAATTCATGAAAACCAGTGTAGCGACAGAATCCAACACTACTGTAGGCCTACATCGTCTTGTCAAGGCGCAGTCAAACTCCTCGGAATTATAAGAACGTTTTCAACTTTTAGGGTCATTGGACAGTTGTCAAATAATATTGTGAATGTAACCGCAACATTGTCGTGCCACAAGGAGTTCTCAGTAAAGTTTTAGAAACTTTTAGCACTGCGGTAAGTTGCAACAGTTTCTTTTAAGCCCTTTCAATCGATGAGATGTGAAAGGTACAGCTGAGACAGTATGATGATGTGTCGGAAATGTGCCTTTCGTTCATGTCGGTTGGAAAAAAATGCTGATTCTTTAGAAAAGTTATATATTTCTGTCGACATTGAGGAGAAACAGCCTAATGTCGTGTTAGTAGTTGTACATGAGCAAACTGGCTACATAACGCAAATAATATTCAAATCTGTGGTCATCATGAGCAGACAGCACTTAAAGACTGCTGTTGAACAAAGGCTTTATGGTAACATTGTAACCCACTTAAAAGTGCTTTCATAGTTCTGAAACATTTTGGTAAAGTTGTTGTAGTGTTGATGGTGTATGGTTGTGAAGAGTATTTCAATGATCCAATGTAATGTTGCACCGCTTGCATAAAGCCTAATCACTGACAAGACTTGTCATACTGTGAAT